TGTTCACCCATTTCTCTAGTCTTTTAGAATCTCCAATAATAATCATCAATAATCATGACATGTATTAAATTAAACTGAAAAATTGTACCCGTTTCTAGACGAATATTTGACGGGTAAGTCATGGAATTGCTCACATTGCTCTCATCAGAAACTACAAGTAGTACATCTAAATTTTAAGGCGTACACACACGACACGTGGGTATGCAACGAACGCCCTATTACGAGCACACCCGACAGACTTTGCCAAATCAATCCGACCAACTTGTATGTGTGTCGTACATTTACGATCTCGCGATTCAATATGTATGCCGTTCGTGTAACAATGTATGCAAGTTCGAAAAAGATTAATAGCTCTGCGCTACGAAACTAAAATTGATTTAACGCTCGAGTGTACCTCGTGCTCGTCGACGCTCAAAAGTTTTTTCTCTCTCTCTCTCTCTCTCTCTCTCTCTCTCTCCAGATCCCTTCTCCACTCCTTTCAAGAGTTACTCCGTGAAATTATCCGCATGTTTTCGTATCGAATTAATTAAAATCGCGCCCAAAGCCGTGGCGCATATAGAGAGCTCGAAGCTCTCTTTCTCTTTGAATTGTAGTTCAATATGTTTACTTTGAGCTTCGCCGAAGAGCTTTCGCGCCGACCATTGAATTATTCAAATTAATTTTCATAATACAAAAAGTATATACGACTCTCCTTTATGTATAAATGAACCTTCATATAAGCGAAATTAAAATTTCAATTCCGTGACGTATGCGCGATTACTCCAAGCCGCGGCCGTCTCTTTAATAATTGAACATTTTTTGCGCCAGCGTGCGCATTAAACGCACGACTGTCTACATCGTTTCCTATGTTCTTGCAACTTTTAACGCCGATCGTATAATAAACCGCGCGCACCGCAACGAATGTTATTACGTGTGCGTAACACGATTCCCGCGGGGGGGGGGAAAGGATGTTGTCGGTGGATGCGCGAATTAACGATCACCACTCGGCCGAATGTTTACAATATATATAAATAGGGGATGTGTAGTTGTAACTCATCCACTTATATAAGCAATAAAAAATCACGGGAAAAGTTGCGGAGCGTCGCTGCTGCAATAATTGATTTTTTCCCCGGCGCCAACGCACACCTAATGTAGAGTATATATATAACAGTCAGCGATTCTCCCGGCTACACAGATATCTATAGTATTGTTAAGGACGAAAAGCTCCAGTCTGGCGCCAACGCCACCATATATACTTTGGTATATACGGGTTTATATAGGTTGCAGTGTGTATCTCTCTCTCACTCACTCACTCCCCCTTGCGATCCATATAATATATTAAGTCTATATCTATACAACCGGTCGCGCTTTAACCAGGACTCGTAAAAAAGTTTTTGCCTAGGAGGGGTTTTCTGTAATTTTTTTTTTTTTTTTGCCCGCGTCTACTTCTTTATTTTCACGAGCTCTCGCGCATGATCGCGCACTTATCGCGACTGTCGGGTTATTTCATCCAGTTACTACTAGTTTTTTTTTACATCGCCGCGTCAGTGCGTCCGCACACATATCTTTTTTCTTTTTTTTTTTATTTTACGTATATACACATAGCGCCCATCGCGATTGTAAATTTTCGTGACCCCTCGTACTCCGCGCCTGCCACCCGAGCGAAACAATTATAAGTCAAGCTTTATTTGATCGATCAAGGCACGAGATAACGTACAACGTACATATAGTATATGTATAAAGTAAGCCCTTAAGGGCGCTCACGCGCGAGGCGAAAGAAAGGAGCCGCTATTATAAACGCTCGAAAACGCCCCGATGAATTTTAATGAATTATAGTACGTGTTAATGTAAAGCTCGCAGAGGCATGTATAGAGCGGGTCTCGGGCGAATCATCTTGTTTAACCTGCAAGATTAATCCATTCGTTGGAATGAAAGATAAATTAATCGGAGCCTTGAGTATATATACACATGCGAATGTACACACACACCTATAACACACTAGATGTACTAATTATCCCGAGTGCTTTCAACTTGTTAATGTAACCTCGATATACCCACGCACACACGTAGTAGTTACATTATACTCACGTATACATGCGATATTACGTTTATATGGAGCAGTACGAGAGAAGTAATCTTTGGTCGCTCGCACTTTTCGTGAATAATGGAGAGGATGAAATGATTAAAAGAAAAAAAACAGCGTAAGTACATATAAAGAGAGAGAGAGTAATATTTCACGCGTACTTCTATAAGCACAATATTACGAAATTATCATTCAACCCTCATAAGTACGCGAATGTATTATAGTGGAGGAATAAAAAGATTGATGAACGTTTTGTCCCGGCTATACATTATGAACAGCCCGGCGCGTGAATTAAAAATAAAACCCGGCTATGCACGATACTTATATATCTCTATCTTATGAGCGCGACAAGTTCGTGTCGGTATTTTTCCACGGCGCTCGAAAGGAAAAAAAGAACAGCCGCAGCGGCAGCAGTAGCAGCAGCAGCAGAAAGTAAGAAAAATGACCCATCGAACGGAGTGCGTAAATATTACCCTGCTCCGGTAATTTTCACATGTGCACGATGATGATAATGTATACACACAGGCGCCCGTAGCGTCGCGAAACCTCGAGAATCGTTTATGTTCTGTGTACACATACGTACACAAGTATGCACGCGTATGTGTACGCGCATCATTAATTAATCATGCTGTATACGTGTGATTATTGAGGCACATATAAGCTCGCCGGGGGGCGCGCGATAGCGACATCGCATTCATAACTTCGCACTACTGCTTTCCGACGCGTATGTACACGTAAACGCGCCGCTATGTACGTAAGTGTATAACGTTATTATAAAAACCTTCGGTATAGCAGTGGCAGCGGCAAGAAAAAAAAAACGTAAATAAAAGGAAGAGACCTTCGTACGTGCACAGGTACCGGATAATTGAATTAAGTCATTACAGTCGTGAGAGTATTGTATACATTGTGTCGAGCTCGAGCGAGAGATGTTTTTTCAATTTATCTCTCGCGGAAAATTCTTACCGCCATTAGTCGTCGTGGTCGTGGTATCGTCCTTTTTGAGAAAATCTCTCGCGGCGTCCTTGACTGCTCCCTTAACGTCGTCTTTAACATCGTCTACGGCTTGGGTTATATTTTCTTTGCTCGAATTACAACCCATTTCTGTTTTTCTCGAGCTCTTTCACTACTTTTCTTCTTCTTCTTCTTTTTTTCTTCTTCTTCCGCTACTATATACCGTTGCCTTATAACTTCGACGCGCACCGCGCGCGAGAATTCACTCTTTCTTTCTCTCTTGGGCTCTCTCTCTCTCCACTTTACCGGGGGTGCGCGCGAGCGATGTTGTAACAGCCGAGGCACTGTACCGTAATAAGCACGTATACACCCTAAAAAAAAAAAAAAAATATCCTTTGCGGCCGTGGGTATAATATAATAAGACGATGTATTTACGCGGTCGCACCCGTTATTATCCTGCCTGATTATGCTTTATGAGCGGTGGCGGCGGCGGTGAAACGCCGAACGAAAAGAATAACGAGAGAAAGAAAGTCGAGTAAAATAAAGAGCTGCGGAAAAATGAAAAGAAAGAAAAGAAGAAAAAATTGACCGGTGTTTCACGCGCGTATACCACGTATGTGTAAGCGTAATATCGCAAGCACTCGGTGAATGTCGTCACGTATATGGAGGGTAAAAAAAAGGCCGATCGCGCACAGCACTGCACAGCAACACAGACGACGACGACTCTCTCGCGCAATAATGCCGCACTTGGCACTATTATATCGTTTCACTTGGAACGCACTGCGCGACACGCTTTTTTCTTGGAATTCCGTGATATATATCTTTGAGCCTCGTAGATTTGTCGAAAATCTTGGTCGAAGCACTTGGTCGTACGAGAACGATACTTATTTACACTCACTCGAAACGATTTTTTTTGCATGTATCACAAGCTTCAATTTTTAATGGAACAGGTAGAAACAAACGAGCAGCTACTCTATAATACAACCTAGGACAACGTTCGAAACGCGAATATCATCCATCCATCGGCAGCGAGAATCATATTCTTCGCGAAGTACATGCAAAAATTACCGACGACGCGGCATGATAGCTCGTCGCGTCACGCGCGCAAGTCGCCAACTGAAAGCTCATGCCCGCGCGGAGCACCGACGACGTGCTGCTTGCACCAAGGCGCACATCTCTCCCCCATGCTTTCGGCGGCGGCGGCGGCGAGCGAGGGCGGCTGATACGCGCACACACGTATATAGGTATACAGGACTCGCGCGTACTTGTATATAGTACACACGATCGCGCGCCGCAACTCGTATTAATGTGTATACGAGCGGCGCACAGACGAAAACTCTCCCCCCGCGGCACGTTACGTATTATACATGCACAAATCGGCAAAACTTTGGATTATAATAAAGCTCGAAGGCAATCAACTTTGCCCTTGCCGCTCGCTCGCCCATATCGATATTTGTTTAAACGTGTGTGTGTGTATGGCAGTTCAATTGTCGCGCCGAGTCTATTTGCTCGTCCGACGCTCGTCGCCTCGCTGCCTTGATTTCGATCTTATATAGGCTAGAGTTATTATTTTCAACTTTATGATTATTGTCGTGATTTTTTTTTTTTTTGTTTCGATAATTGTACACCACTTGCTCTCTATATGATACCGATCGTATCGAGCCGATCGCTCGAATAACGCCGAGCGACGCGTTAATGATGGTATATTATCCCATTTTTCGAGAAGTGTCGGAGAGGCGGCTCTCTGTTGTATATGCGAACGTGTATATCGCGCCTATCGATTGAGCCTACGCGCGACGTTTATATGCTCGCTTGCCTCGCGGGCGAGTAGCTGGCTTATATATACACAAGCGTTTATAAGATATGTATCGGTGATGACATTTTCATGTATTGGCGATCGTTATATCGATCGATCGGTGGAGCGTTTACACTTGTTTCTTTTTTTTTTTAGGTTCCTGTTAAATATTGATACAAGCGAGACTTATGAGTCATTATAAACATTTATTTACATGAGGAAATTTTTTTTTATGGTACAGTGTAGTGAGTTATTTCTTTTTGGTCTTGGTTTCTTCGAGTTTTGGTTTCTTCGAGTCGGCACGGTACAGTTTCAAGGGTCTCTTCTTTCCTTTCGAGTTCGGCTTTTTGATCTCGTCTTTCATTACGTCGATGGCTCGTCGCGAGTTCTGTTCCAGCGAAAGCTCCATCGAGTGATCCAAGAACTTTCCTGAATAATTTTTCGGGAACAGCGGCTTCTTCAGCAAAGCTTCCAAACGAGCCTTTTTGCCCTGCAAACTACGCTTCGCGTCGGCTTTTCCTTTAGCTTCTTCCGAATCTTGCCTGAAAAATAAAATATTTGTTCAATAATTGATTCAAAATTATGATATGAACAATTTTGAAGCATATAAAATGATTCTTACTCATCATCGTCGTCGTCATCGAGCAAAATATCCATTTCTCTAGCTGCCTTTTGACGCCAACTTTTGTCAAAATTTTCCTTACGGCATGTTAATTCTAATTTGTCAATATCTCTGGCAACATTCACTCTTTCTTTAACACACATAAGCAGTCTGTCTACTACTGGGAATGTAGGCAAGTCTTCAGCTGTTAAAAAGAAAAAAAAATAATAAGAATTAAGAATGATTTGAATTTGAAATGATTTAAAGAAACAAGCAATATCAAAGACTTACTGCGATTCAAAGTTTTGCAAATCTTTGTATAATTGTGTTTTTCAGTAGGTTCCATTAACAAAACAGTTAAACCTTCGTTCATGGCTCGAGCTGTTCTTCCACTTCTGTGTACGTAACTCTGAAAGTTGAAAAGTTTTTGTTAAAATGTTATAGAAATTAAAATACTTATTACACTACTTTTGACACATACCTCAGATGTTCTTGGAACTTGATAGTGAATGACATGTTCAATTTTTGGAATATCCAATCCTCTTGCAGCAACATCAGTTGCAATGAGGAGACTATTTTCAGTTGACTGGAACCTTTCAAGATTTCTCAATCGCTGTGGTTGAGTCATGCTTGCATGAAGTGGAAAAGGTTTACATTTTAAAATACTGAATAATTGGGCTAATCTCTTAACACATCCAATACTGTTACAAAATACTAATGTTCTTCCAGGATGTCTTTGCAAAAAATAGTAGAGATAATAATCTTTTTGTTCAATAGAACAAACTATTCTGCATTCGGTTAAGTTATTTGTGGTTCCTGAAAAAAAAATTGTTGAGTAATTCATTCAAGTTTCAATTGAAAAATAAATCAATGATTGAAATAATAACAGTACCTGTTTTTGTGGTAACATCAATTACTTTTGGATTCTTTAATTTCAATATGTCTATGACTTTTTTCAATTTTTGTTCCGGTGTGAGCTTCTTAATTCTACTTCTGGAATTACGTTGCTTCTTTCTTTTCAAGTAATCAGGAATGTCATGAACTAACGACAAAGTAGCAGAGAATACAAAAGTTTGACGCTGCTGAATTTTAGATTCTTTGAAATTCATTTTTTCTAAAATTTGATGCAATTCTTCAAAGTGGCCAGCTTCTAACATTCTGTCGGTTTCATCAATAGCAAGATATTTCACTGATTCGATTTGATTTAAATGAGGATTTCCTAGTTCTATAAGCTCCCACAATCTGCCAGGTGTTGCTATTACAATTTCAGGACCTTGTTTCAAGATTCTTTCTTGTTTAACAGAAGCCATTCCTCCAACAACAAGTGCAATCTATATTTGACAAAAATAATAAGGTAAATACAATACTTATAACAAATTATATTATGAATTATTATAAAAGTTGAGATACATACTCTAATATCTGTATTAGCTGCTGCTTTTATCAAATGGGCACGGATCTGCACAGCTAGTTCACGAGTAGGAGTCAAAATCAAAGCATACAATGGCTTCAGAGGTTTATTACTTGCTTTTTCTGGGAAACCATCAATTTCAACATTATCGATGACTTTGACCAGTCCTATACCATTATCACTTATAGTGCTCTCCTCTGCCTTTGATTCATTATCTTCATCTTCATCACTCTCGCTGTCGAATTCAGTCTCATTCATGTCAACCTCTTTGAATGAACCGCTTGCAGTTTTGATGATTTTGCCATGTTTAGCTTTAAGTTTCATTATACCATCCAAAATAGGAATGCCAAAAGCCAGAGTCTTGCCGCTGCCAGTCTCAGCAGCTCCTAGAATATCCCTTTTACCAAAAATAGCTGGTGGTATGGCCAAAGTTTGTATTTTTGTTGGAGTCAGGAAACCTTGTTCAATCAAATTCCTTTTTATTTCTTCTGGAACTCCAAGAGCACTCCACGCTTCACCGCCTGTCGCATTCTCACTCGGTTGATCTACCTCCATGTTCTCAACCATCTTGTTTGATATTGACTTCTGACTAGTAAGTAAATAAACAAAAAAAATATATAAACTTCACTTGTCGATTCGATTTAACCTCGCAAAGCACGTGGTATCACGATTCAATTGTAAACACTTTTCTGTGGCCGGCTGAGACAAGAGCGACTTCCGAGTGACGTGCAAGGCGCAGGCGCTTCAGCAGCCGACAGTCACATCTGGGCGGCGGCTTTTTCAAAAAAGATTTATTTGGATATTGAAGTAATATTTATTCTCGTTAATTTAATTGAAAACATAAATTTTAAGTAGTAAGTTTGCGCTTCGACATGTATCAAATGCATTATTATCTCGAAAATTTAAAACAATTTTTTAACTTACTAAGTTTTATTTAGATATAAGTTATGTTTACAAAAAGTCATTGTTGTTTCATGCTGTTGTTATATTATAGTCAGTTATATGATCAATTGTATCATCGTATTATTGTATTATTGTATTATTGTTGATAAATATATAGAGAATATTTTTTCCGTATTGGTGTATGTGTGACTCTCTGGCCTCTGCTGAATAAAGAAATCGAGCTTTGGTAAGTCTATAAGTATCTATAAGTAATGTGGAATAAAAAAATACTAATTTTGAAATTTTATTATTGTTAAATTTTATTGTCATAAAATTTTTATGCTATTTGCTTACAATAGTCTACAATGTAAAATACATAATTTAAAATTTATGTACAAATGTACTCTATATATGATACAATCATATTTTCTAATTAAAAAATACATGTTTTGGATACATCACTCGTGCGATATTATTTGTCTTGCAAAAGATCATCATCTTTATTTGCGTTATTTACATATTCGATTCTTGGAGTCGTGAAATTTTTTTAAAGTTCGATGCAATACCGAAAGTCAGGTTGAAAATGAAACATTTTGCAAATTTACTCGTCGTTGCGATTTTTAACTCACATATTTCGATCAAGACTCTCGAATGCCTTCGGAACTAACGCGGAAATATGGCAGTAGAAACCGCAAGAAACGCGTTTGAAAATCTTCATTTTCACAGCTGACTCGTATAGGTACTCATCGCTTCGCGGAATCTCTGATCGAAGCGCACCTCAACCCGAGCTATGGCCGCTATCCGGACTAGTAGCCGGATACTCGGCTGGCACGTCGACGATCGACAATTTGCAGCAGCGCAGATTCGGCCGCGTGTAAAGTCTGAAGACGCTCGCGTGCGGGCCCAAGCCACTGTAGCAGCGTTCCACGTGACGTCCCAAGGCAACCTGCGTGGTGAACATTCGCGCGCGGCCCTGCGCCTGGCACCACACGCACATGAACAGGTTGTAGGCGTCGTCCTCGTGGGCCTCGCGGTAATGATAGAGGCCGTCGTCCTCGTCCTTGAATTTCTGCCGGCAGGCGGGCACGAGGCAGCGAGCCCGCAGATCCGAGCTGCAGACCAGCACGTCGTACACCCCGTCCAGGTGGAACTGCGGCTGCGCGAGCTCGTCCCAGTGGTGCGCCGTCGCCGCGTGGCGCAGCAAACTGTCGGGCTCGTCGTGGACCTCGATGCCGCACGCTCGACAGGCGAAGGCCAGCATCTGGTCGTGCTCCCACAGCAGGTGGTCGGCCAGCTCCTGGGTACGGCCGAAGCGCTGGCGACAGCGTCGGCAGTCCTTCGGGCGCGGTACCTTTAAAATCCTTATCGAGAAGAGCGCGTCGATGTCGTCCAGCCGGTCGTGAGCTTCCAAGGCGTGCTGCACCGCCCCGTCCAAATCGTCCTGCACCCGGTAATCCGTGCACAGCTTGCATCCGATCAGCAAGCAGGTCTCGTGCTGCTCGACGATGTGCCGGAATTTGTCTTCGCTGCGTCGAAATCTCGCCTCGCACAGGGTGCAAGCTTCGCTGGCTTCCGGGCCCTGCGTCTCCCGCGTCGCGTGCGTACCCGTGAAGTGATTCGACTGTTTCTCGTGCGCCTCTCTCACGTGCTCGTGCACGTCGAACAGGTCCGCCGACTCGAAGTCGCAATCTACGTCCTGGCAGCTGCACTCGTAGGTCGGCGTTATCGCGTGTGCGTCGAGCTGGTGCCGCTCGTGCAGGTAGACGTGCTCGAAGCTCAGCCCGCACGGCCGACACTCGAGCAGCTCGTGGCCGTGGCGGCTTCTCGCGTGCTGCCGCGCCGCCTCGGGCGATCGGAACACGTCGTCCAGGCAGTAGGAGCACTTGAAGCTCCGCCGGACTCGCTCGATCTTCTTGGCCAGGTCCTCGTGATCGCGGCCGATGTGCTCTCGGAGCAACGCGTCGCTTCTGAACGCGACCAGGCACACGGGACACTTGGCTAACTCCGCACAAATCAGCTCCGGGTGGCGGTTTCGTTTGTGTGTCTCGAAGAATTCGGCGCCTTCGAATACGCACGATTCGGCGTTTGCGTGCACGCAAGCGTAACATATTTTTGACGGCATGGCGAATGGATTCTTTCGGGCTCGATTGTCAATTTCGATTCTCTTGAAAATTACTCGTCGTAATTTTTGTCTTGATTTTTCGTCCAAATAGCTGCTACACAGATCCTTAAAGTACCTGTGTATCGTCTGAAAAGTTTATTGCGAAAGTGCCATTATAGTATTCGCTAATTTTTTTTTTCTCAAAATTATTCATACGTTGAATGAAAAATTGAAATATATGCTTACCTAGTACAGATGTTGGTAACGCTAACGACCCATCGACTCTCTACTACGAGCTGTAACTGATGTTCGACGACACATTGATCCACATTGTTTGAAATATTATGTCATGTAAATAATAACGTAAGTAACTGTGATCTATCAAAGAAAACCGTAGTTGTTATATACTACTCATTCTCCATGTATTACCTAGATGATTTGTGATACAACTGACGTTCTCAGTGATCGATAAAAAGAAGGAGGGTGGGAATTAATAGTCGAATTATCGCGATACAATTTTCTTTTTAGTTTTATTGACTTATAATGAATACATTTCTATGGGTGATACTTGATACTGCGCTATCAATTTTGATTTAATTTGTATCTTTATCGATTAGTCATCGATCATTTCTGATGATTTCACTATTTTTTTAGATTCATTCTCTTTATTAATAACATATTTTGAGACAGATTGACGGACCATGCACAATTTCATACTTAACTTTGATCCAAAATGGCCGAAAATGTAAACTCTATATACTTACTACTTTAAGCAATAATATCTCATATTTAGTCACTGCATAGTCATACCATGGTTTTCAAAAAATAATTGTTATCACTCAATCGCTCAATTTTTTTTCAAATTCAACGAAACATTTAAATATTAAAAGTGTACTAATCCAATTAAAATTAAATAAAAATATTATTCTTTTATTCATTGACATTATCTACAAATTGGAAATGTATTTTATGAATCATTGAATTACATTCTTTACGTATGTTACAGTACATTAAGAATCAGTAGTTTTATGCATTAATTAAAATAAAGTTTAATAAGGAATATTAAAAAAATACTTTCTTGTACTAGTTAGTATTAACAATTTAATTTTACTACAAAAATTCATACACTCTTTTCTATACACAACAATCTCTCTATACATAACAATTACTTTAGAACTTTATTATAATATACCTAAAATTTGAAATTAAGCGAAAGAAATCATCATAAATCCTGAGCGAAGTAAAGTCTTCGTCCTTTCAATTTGATTTTTTGCAGTTTTTGACCAAAGCTCAATGAGCTTATGATTAAAAAAAAACTTGATTCGTGTGATCATTGCAGTAACGAGATTTAAAAAAAAAAAATTTCTCATACTCTCTAAGAAGTCAATTATCAATGCTCACGACATGTTGCCTGATCCGACCGCTAGATGACTTTATCCTATTTTCCGAAAAACCCTTATAAAAAGTAACAAAGATCAGGGATTATACTGACCGGTTTTGAATGGTAGAGATATCCATGTGCCATAAATGCATCGCAGACGCGTTTTTGTACACGTTATAAATTAGCACGCCGCTAATATACGAAAGTGAGCTCAACGCCTAGGAATTATATATGGACAGCAGAGGACTCTCTGGCGCGCGCGAGTGTAGCTACATCAAGAGTGTAGTGCATAATATATATATCGTATCAAGAGGAGGAGGAGGAGGAGGCGAAGCGGCAGCAACAGGAGGTGGAAGTATCGTAAGTATAGCATGCACCATACGTTTTTGCACGGGGCGCTCTCGACTCGACCGGAGTCTCCGCTCGCGCACAGAGTCTCGCGGATGTTTAGTAGTTTCGCGAGATCGCTAAAGCCACCGCAGAGCTGCAGTGCGACTCTCTCTGTGCGTGTGTGAGTCGTCGTCGTCGTCGTGCATTTACTCGCGCGCGCGTGTGTGTGTGCGTACGTGACGACATTATGCATCAACGCGTATAGACGGGTATTTTTATATGCAGCATTAGAAATCAACTACGACGACGACGCGTGTGCGTAATTTCGCAGATCGATCGAATACCAAATGGTGCTGAAGTGAGTGACGCTGCCAGTAGCAGCAGAACGTGCGTGTGCCCGCAAAAGTATCGAGAGAAAGATCGGCATCTCGTTGAAGGAGAGAGAGTCGGAGCAAAGGTAGCAGATTATTATATTATTATAGAGAGAAAAAGAAACAACAACGAGCCAGCAGCAGCAGCAGCTGAAACGGCATCGCCATGACGCGTAAACTCAGCAAATTTCTCATTATCTTCGAGAACACGAATCTGCTTTACTTTCCTGGGCATTTTCTGTCCGGTCGCGTGCTCATCGAGCTCGACGACGAGGCCTAGTAAGTCTGTTATTATACATTATATACATATCCTGTATACGTACATACACATACACACCTATAGGCGCACAAGGTATACACATATATATACCTGCGTGATAAGTACGTGTGTGTGTGTGTGTGCGTTCGTACGTCTATATACGCAACTCTCTCGACACACACACGCAGACACGAACACATCCGTGGCACGCACGATCCTCGTCCACCATGTTTGCATTTGTAATAGTTTTCAGCTGCTCTCGTATGTACAATACACATATACTTTGAAAAAAAGAAAAATCTTGTCGTTTTTTTTCGCGTTCTGCTACGAGCTCGGCTCAGCTCGAGCGTGTCGTTTGCGCTAATTTTTTTTTTTTTTTTTTTCCGATATCACTGCTTTTCAATTCTTATAGCGTTATTCAATAATCGTCTGTATAGTGTATACCGAAAGAGCTCGAGAGGGAAAGAGAGAGAGTAGAGTAGCGTAGAGAGGCTCGCGAAATATATATTAAAGAGTCGTGCGCGAGATCGTTGGTTGTAACCTTGTACCGAATCACTATATAGGTATGAAAAAAAAAAAAAAAAAAAAAAAACAAGTGGAGAACCCGCGACGCGTTGCTCCTGCCTCGCTGGTATACACCTATACATAATATACATCTTACATTGGGAAAGTCGTCTCGTCTCTCTCTCGACGAGATGTCATATAATAGAGTTCGAGTGCGTTCGATGTATATAATGCAATACACGATGACACGGCTGTATAAACCGCGAAAAAAATGATTAGAGGAGAAAAAAATTCTCACGTCTCTCGCGTGCATCTGGCATAGCTCGAGCTGCAGCAGCAGCAGCAGCAGTAACAGCATCGTGTGCCCATAGACGAGAGCGACGCGCGCCAATGCGAGAGACGTGAGAGAGAGAAAGAGATGAGGTAGCAGAATGATGTAACAACCAAATATGGTTATTAACGAGGATCGATGGCGTGTGCGAGATCTTTTTTGTTCAGCTGCCTCGCATTTTTTTTTTTTCGCGGAAAGATGAAACAAATCGTCGATTGAGGAACACGATCGATTTACAGAATTTAGAAAACAGGAAACGATAATGAGCCGCGAAACTGCACACTCGACAGTTATTAATTATTTCTCACCGAACATGATTGATATCGATACAATAAGTTACGATCTCATCCCATTTCTCTACGCGATACACCAGCGAACTCGCGTAATTCTCTCGAGCTATAATACTCATATCCGCGCGCGTGTGTATACCAGCTCCGCAGAGTCGCGCGTTCCGAAGATTCTTCCTTGGCATGCATGCAATGAGAATTGCCAGCCCATATGCACATGCTCGCTCGGAGCTCCGCGTACATTACCTCTCGCTCGCTCTCTCCTTGTGCTTGTATACTGCTTACATCTTATGCATAAATAGAGCCGTATATAAACGAGCGCCTCGGCACTTTTTTGCACCTATTAAAAAAAAATTTCCGACTTTTATTTTCTAATGATTATTACTTAGCCGCGCGCGCGCGTCTTAATTATAAAATATAATAGACGCTCGAGAGAGAAAGAGAGAGAGCGCGAATTTGAATAATATGCGGTTGGGAGAGAATCTGTTTATAGCGAGGGAGAGAGAGAGACGGAGACTATTGACCCACGCGAATTATGCAAACGAGACGCGTGGATGCCGATCGTCGTACGTCTGCTCCCATCGTTTGATTTACCTCAAAGCAACGACAAAAAAAATGTTTATTTTATTAAGGTCGTTTACGCACACACTAATGTACATTTGGGAAAAACTAAGACGAGGATTTTTCCATTCTTTTCGCGCGGGCGTTAAATTTATGAAAGCCTCGAGTAACAATAGTCTAGCTTTTGCAATGCGCACAATTATATAAAAGTTAAAGTCGACGAATTATAAACGATTCACACGCAATTGTGCACTATAGCTATAATAATAATTATCATTCGTTCAGCGTTTCCGGCCTGCACTTCCACGTGATCGGCGAGGGTGTCGTGCGAGTGCGCAGCCAAAGGGCCGAGCGCGTCTACGACAAGGAGAACTACATCGACTTTCGCATGAGATTGCTCGGCGAGCCAGGTACGCATACACGAAAATTTTTATCGTTGGGAGCTTCGATGATTATAAAATTATAAATCGTCCTCAGGTGACGGACCGTCGCTGCTCTCGCCGGGCATCCACAGTTTCCCGTTCAAGCTCGGCCTGCCGCTGGGCCTGCCCTCGACCTTCCTCGGCAAGCACGGCTGGGTGCAGTACTACTGCAAGGCGGCGCTGCGCGAGCCCGGCGGCCTCGTCCACAAGAACCAGCAGGTCTTCATAGTCATGAACCCGATCGATCTGAATCTCGAGCCGCCGATTCTCGCGGTAAGTTTTAGTGCTATATAAGCGATATAATAAGCGCTATGTAATTGTTGCGAAACGCACTCATCGATTCGCGAGTCGTCGTCGCGCAATTATAATGCCGCGAGAAGAAAAGTATGTAAAATAATAATATAACGACGGTATATAAACGCGATACGCGAGTGGGTGTGTGTGTGTGCCACCACCGCCCGCGCGTAATACATAATAATAATTGCGGACGTTCATCTCTGGTGGAGCAGAGAGAAGCAGCATCGGCGACATGAATTATGAATCGAGCGCACGCCAGTGTTGTGAAAGATTTGTGTCTTATTATTATAGTGCAGCATCCGATCGTTATTGACGATTCATCGAGAATCTGACTAGCTATAATGTGTGTTTATAATTGAGCGAGCAATTTCAGATGAGTTTACGGATGTGCGATATTCGCCTCGAGACTGTCCGACGATGATTTTTCGTGATTGTGATTAATTCAACTTCGATGAGGTTTAAATGTACCGTTATGGGCTAAATTTTGTTTTGTCGTAATCTGTTTTGTACGAAAGATGTCAAAAAAATCAAGCGGAAATCGTCGATCGAGAGCTCGGCAAATATGCCCAGCTCGTCGCTCAATGTGTACACAATAATAATAAATAACCCAACTCCGTCTCTCTCTCGTTGCAGCAACCGGCGCGTCTCGAGGTCGAGCACCACGTGGGCGTGTCCTGCGTCTCGGGCGGCCCGGTCTTCTGTCGGGTCAGTCTCGACCGGGGCGGCTACGTGCCCGGCGAGAGCATCGGCATCTCCGCCACGGTGAGCAATCGCAGCAAGGTCACGATGAAGTCGACCAAGGCCAGCCTCACCGAGACCATACAGTATCTGTGCCGGGGCAAGGTGCTGGCCAGCGAGACCCGCGAGCTCGCCAGCGTCTCGCGAGGAAAGATTCGACCCGGCGAGGGCGAGGAGTGGCTGAACGAGCAGCTCTACGTGCCGCCCCTGCCGCCGACAAATCTGCGCGGCTGCCATCTCATCAACGTGCTCTATCACGTTTACGTGAGTTTTTTTGATATTGTATCGTAAATTGAACACAAATTGAGAGCGAGTCGATAAAGGACATATTTTTTTGCACACAGTTCGTCATAACGCCGAAGAGCCTGGACAAGGAGATAAAGCTGCAGATTCCGATAGTCCTGGCGACGTATCCGTTGAGACAAGAGGGTGCACCGGCCGGCACAGCACCCTCGAAACGCGGAGCGCACTATCCGTCGACTCTGCCGATATTCCGGCCTTGGCTCGACGACAAGGCTTTCAACGTTCAGGATTGATCGCCCACTTCAGCGATGTTCTATTATTTTTTTTTTTATTCTTACAAATACGTATAATTTAATAATAATTGTTTGTTATAGTCAGTCGTGTATGCTAAGTCTCGAAGTTCGTTTCTCTCGTATAATGCGTGCGATTATACGAGGAGGACGCGAAGAAAAAGAAAAGAAGAGAGAATGAAGAGAGAGAAGACGTCGACTCGAGTGGGTGAGCAGTATGTAGTGTATCGAGTCGTTCGAGCGGAACATAAATCAAAATAATCACACGTATATTTTTTTATACAATACGCATTATTGGGGAGGAAAAAAGTCGAGTAAGCAAACGAGTAATTGTAAATTAATGAAGAAGGAAGAAAGAAAAAATTATTTAGTGCGACTAGAGAAGACGCGGTCATTAATCACGAGTGTACATAAATAACTACGACGAGTCGCGTGCAATGATACAGTAGCGAATACGTTTTTTTTAATTATTTCTAATGGAGAAGAAAGGCAATCAAATTGTAAATAAACGAATTAACGACGATGAATTTTGTTACGCGGATTATGATTATATTATTGTGGTTTTACGATTAATGCAATTGACGATTAATTAAAATATGTACAATTTTATTGTACGAGCATTTTTCTGTATATTGTAATTACGTAATACGATTAAAAAAAGAAATCATCTTACGACACTAAATTTACAGTTCTTTTTTTCCTCTCTTATACATAGTATAAAAAAATTATATCGCTACGCCTAGTTATTGGCGATTTCCGATTTCAAGCGTTCGGTAACTTTCTCGACGCTGCTGCCGGTCACGATGATCGTCTTGTGACGACTCCTTGAGCCCTAAAAATAAAAAAAAAAAATGGATAAACATTTACTCCGATGTTAGTTCATTTTAAAAGTAAAAACTCACTCTGTCCAGCGAGACGTCGGACTTTCGCACGCTCAAAACCGACGACAAATATTTGACGAGCTCCGCGTTCGCTTCGCCTTCTTGCGGAGGCGCGGCTATTGCCACACCGATCGCCTCTTGCCCGATATCTGCAAAAAATTTACGAGGAACAAATTGCGAATTTCTCTCATTTTTTTTATTGTTAAGCAAAATATTATTTTTCATTCAATAACCTGTGACGTTGTTCTGTTTGGCCCCAGGCTTGGCTTGAATCTTGATCCTTACGTTCCCATTCTTGTCGACATCGATCGGTCCCTGAAATCCCAACAAAAAATGCCAAAAATAACGATTATACTCGCAATTTCGACGATCATTCGCGAGATGCCGTAAGCGATCGGTCCGCGCGCGGCCGCACAATACTTGACATGTGCGCGCGCAGTTTCGAGAACGCAGATAAAGTGAGAAAGAGACAGAGAGAACTCCGAGACGACTAGCCGACGACGAAGTGAAAAACGAACGACCGACAGGCTGTGAATTTTTCGTGTACAGTGTTGTTTTGCATACGAATTAATACCGCGTGCAGCAGACAGCAGTGTCAAAATCATCCCTCGACCTGTTCGACGTCAAAATATGCCACTACAGTCCCGGTGATATTCATCGTATACAAGAAAACAGCAAGTATATATCTTACGAGTGTTGAGACATTATGCGACTTATAGCCGACTCTGATAATAACAATCGAAATAATAGTCTATCTCTATCTCCATTTCTCTTTGTCTATCGTTATGTGTACGCTACCTCGGGTTCCTTCGACTCGTTGTTGACTGCAGCCGCCGCTTTTGCAGCCTTCTTTTTGCTCTTGCTCGACATGCTCGCGCGAGTGACGCTCGGCCTCAGGGCATCGTTGACGAGACGCGACAACATTCAGCCGCGCAGCATATCACGACGATGTCTCGCAGTTTCTATCGAAGATTTTACAAACTAACCTCGCGATCAAAGTGCGCCAAATATCGAAGATATTAGAACATTAGTGTACGGGAAAATATTATATATATAGCTTATTATCGTAGAGAAAGACGTGCGACAACACAACAAGTCACTGACACGAGCGCATGCGTCGCGATTGCAGAAAATATTGTTCTTTGAGGAGCGTATATGGTGGTGCAGGCATCCAGGCGGGCTACTTTTGAATTGTCAGTGTAACGTTAGATTCTTGTTTTATGCTGAATTAGTCTTTGAAGATTATTCAATAGAAAAGTAAGCAAGTCTGCTTTTTATTGTGCTCGATATTGCTCATTTGGTAAATAATGCAATTGGTTCAAAAACTCATGCTATCAATTTAGATTTAACAAGATGATAGCATCAAGCGATCGTTGCTACTGTATTTATCTTACTAATCCTTTCTCTATTTCACTTTAATAATGTCATTTGTGATAAGAAAAGTGTAAACAGCAGATACATGTGCTTGTGTTGGTTGAACCTTCTGAGAAAGCAATGCTCGCTGTGCTAATTTACTATAGATGATGCTTACTGAGAGAGTGTTTCTTTACCTTTTGATTTAGATTAATTCATCAAGATGCCAAAAAAATTTGTCGGTGAAAACAGTAAGGCTGTGGCTGCCAGGGCTCGTAAAGCTGCTGCCAAAGAAGCTGAAAGCAGTCGCAAGGCTCAAGAGGCTGAGGATAAGGCTTGGCAAGATGACGACAAACAGTTACTCAAGAAAAAACAGAAGCAGGTACAATAAATAAGTTACTTTTGTTGACATTTAACTTTTGTAATGATATTTAACCTTTACTGATGGTTTTTTTTAATTACAGGAAGAGATGGAAAGAAAGCGTCTTCAACAATTACAAAAAAAAGAAGAAGCCAAGGCTCTTCTTGAAAAAGAATTGAGCTCCATTAAAGTTGGTGGAAAACAGCCAGCAGCTAAAGTCACTCGAGCTGAGATTCAAGCTGTCACAGAAAAACGTAATCAAGTTGCCATGAAAAACAAAGACAAGGAAATTGAAACTCCGATAGAAGAAAATTTGAATAGGGTAGTATTAGAAGGTGAAACTGCTCACGGAATTGACGAGGCTCTTTCAGTTTTGAGGTAAACTTATTAAACATATTCTAAAAGTTTTCTTTAATGCACCAAAACATTTTCAGGCCAGTTAAATTTAGTTTGAAAATTGTTTACACAAACACAAAACCAATGATTATGCATCGTGCTAATTGTATGTTCTATTTATAGCGTGAAAGATCCCGAAATTGACCGGCATCCCGAGCGTCGTTTGAAAGCAGCGTATCTTAGCTTCGAAGAGCGGACGATGCCTATTCTCAAAGAGCAACATCCTACGTTACGTTTAAGTCAGTTGAAGCAATTGTTAAGGAAAGAATGGATGAAATCCACGGAAAATCCTTTAAATCAAAGATCGTCTTCGACCAGCTAATAAAGACTTGCATGGCGATCGTCATGCGTGATGAGTGGAAGGGTTTTGTGAGATTTATACACGTGTGTTGACGAAAAATCATGATTATTGTCTTTACACAAATTTATTGTACATTAACATAATTTATACTTCGATACATATAGTTTACATGTCAAGTAAATGATTATAATTTATGTATAAAAAAAAACATCACATCTTTGGTACATATTGTTAAATTCGTCCGACGATCGATCGTTTTTCAGTTTTATTGAAAAAAAAAAAACATTGTTCGTGAAATTTTGGCACAATGAGGTTTCTTTTTTTATTATATGTATATTACTGACTGCTCATCAGACTTTTTGACGGTTGTGATTCGAGAGCTCTTTGTTTTTTTTTTCTATCAAAAGTAAAAAAAACCAAGAGACAAGCACATCACCACTTTTTGTTTTTCCACAAATCGATGAAACAATGTATCATGTGATTCAACTGTTCCGGGCAATCGGTCATCGGCATGTGACCCGCGGCCGGAATGGCTTCTAAAAACGCCTTGATCATTGTCTGTAACGAGAACACAAGCGACGATTGACATTTTGTTATAAAATTTATATTTTCGATTAATTTTTATCGTGTGTATTGTATATTTGCTATGGATTGTGTTGATTTATGATCGATTTTAATAATAACCAGAACGATTCTAACGTATGAAAAAAAAAGGCTCGCATTTCTTATTTCTCTGTGCATACCACCCGTATGCAATCATTCGAACAGATAGAACGAGTAGCCGTTCTAGAAATCATAAGTATACCGTCTCGATTTATAATAATATGGGCGTGAGTGCAAAGATAACAGCTACTAGAGCGTGCGAGTAATGAGCACATGTACGCGCGACACACAATGTGATCGATTTCTTTACTTTATCGAGTTTTCATTGTACACGAGGCAGGATGTTTACAGTAGGCGCCTTTAATATCGGTCACTCTTTTCTACTTTCTTATTAATACCAATTATACAGTACACCGATTTTATAAACATATATACGCGTTTTGCGCACTCACCCTCTCCATCTGGCACTCCTGCACGAGCGACACCTTGTCGTCCCTCAGTCCGTGTATCAACAGGGTCGGCGTGTTGATGCGCCGATGAAACACGTAGTCGCCCTCGGGCCAGGACATGCCTCGAAGCACATGCCTCATGTGCGACGGCCGCTGGCGCTCGTCGGCCTCGTAGCCGCAGTAGGGATGCTGTCGGCCCCTCGGCCCGTACAGCAACGAGCGCTGCAGGCCGCATATGACGAAGGGCGAGACGAGGGCGCGCAGCGCGTCGTAGCAGGCGCCCTCCTGCGTGGGCGGCGCCAGGCAGGTCGGCCCGCCGCCCGATATCAGGATCAGGTGCTGCACGTACGACTGGTACTTGCTGGCCAGGGCGCTGGCGAAGCTGCACCTGTGTTTTGTAAAAGACACAGAGGATAGAGAGAAAGAAATTTAGTTTTTTTACGCGCGATCACAAAGGCTGAGAGAGAGGATAATATAACGTATGCGCGTGTGTGTAAGCGCGTGCTTGGAATGATGAACGAAAATTTACCGATATACGATGAGGCGCGCCAGTGTACGCACGATGAAATTTAAAATCATGCATACGTTACGATTTACGAGGAACGAACGAAACAATGCGATTTGTCTTTAATACGTTTTCTATCTTTTATCATCGATTCGATGCGTGTATTTTCTTTTTATTTATTTTTCTTCCTCCTCGCGGAAAAAGATGCAAAACAACGATCGACGTTTTTCATCGCACGCAGTAGTACGTCGAGTTCTCACGCCTCCGAAATCGTTGTAAACGTTCGATTGTTCGAAATCTCGACGTAAAACACGATGATGATGTTGTACTTTTTTTATCAAGCCCAAAAGCGCACAAGTAAGCCCGTAATAAACTTCCGACCCTCTCTCGCTCGCGCGCGCCTCTCGAGTGCAAACAATTTTCGATATCTATCTTTGTTAGTTACGCGAGAGGCTCTTCCGTATCGTAATAAACACGCGGCCGTGCAGCATGCGTCGAACGTACGGCTCGCGTTTTTTTTCTCTCTCTCTCTCTCTATGCATTATTATGCCAGTTTCGCTTCGTTTGAGCGCACGTGCTTAAATGATATATACGTTGGCGTTGCGAAATTTTATAGTTCTTATAGATGCACTTCGGCGGTCGCCGTTGCCGATTTTTCGTTTTTATTTGCTTTTTTTTTGATAATCTCGAGAACGAAAATCAATCGCGATAATATTTCATTAACCCTGAATTTATTAAGCCAAAAAAGTGCATCCAGAGTAAATATTGCCATTCGAACGGATTTAGATTAAAAGATACTTCGCGATGAATCAAACTTTTTTTTCTCTTCTACTAGGGCACAGCGCGCGTAGGATTATATAGCAATTATATACGCGACGTTTATCACGGCTCGCGAGACACATACACACGATCGTATATATACACCAAGTACATACACACAGGCTCGGCGTCGCGAGAAAATAATATTATTTCCTGCCAATATAATCGGCAAGAGAGTAATAATATTTTCTTCCCGTGTGCGCGCGACGCGAAGGCGACGATCTCGCGCTCGGGGCGTGAAGAACGCGACGATCGTATTTTATAAAATACAGAGACGTACACACACACACACGTATCTATATAATGCAAGTGTCAAGCGCGAGTTAAAAATAATTGCTACGTAGAGCCTCGCGGGCATTGTCTGGTTTTTTTTCCTTTTGTTTTTTTTTTCCTATCCGAGTTCTTCCTCTTTTTTTTGTTTGATTCTTTTGCCATGCTGCACGGAGTTAATTACTGCGCGCTTATCGCCTCTGTGTAGTGTATAGCGTCGATATAATGTCTATTTCGCCGCGTTCGTTATTGTCATTGTACGAACGTTCATCTAGTTCACTTTTTTTTTTTTTTATCATTGTTATATTCATCGATAAAGAAAGCGTCGACCGAAATGTTCCGTGCCAATTAAGCATTATACATTTTCAGAAAAAAATCTCTTACCCGTAATTGTGCGCTATGATGACGCACTTCTGGCCGGGCTTGAAGGCGTAATACAGCAGCACCGTCTCGAGATCCTTGAGCAGATTCAGGAAGCGATAGTCCTTGGCGCGTCGGGACGCGGTGCTCATGCCGTGGCCCAGCAGTTCGGGCGCGATGCACGGATAGCCGAGATTCGAGAAGTACCTGAGCTGCGGCTCGAACGTGTCCGCCGACGAGCCGAAACCGTGGAGAAACACGAGGATCGGTTTGCGATGCCGATTCTTTCTCAAAGTGACTTCCATCTCGTTGTTGTTGTTGTTATTGTTTTTGTTGATGCTGTTGTTGTTGTCGGCCAGCTGCTGCCTGTGCTCGGGCACGGGAAAGCGTCGCCGATAATCCTCGAGCTCGAGCGACGATCTCTGGCCTCCGTTAGCCTGCGATGATTTTTTCGTCGGGCTCGTCGTCGTCTGTTTTCTCCGCGGCTTGCCCAGCCGCATGACCAGACGCTGCCTGATCACCGAGACGGTCTTGTTGACGCGCGAGGTCACGGCGTTCGTGTGGCTCGGCGAGGACGTCTTGTCCTTGTTGCCGGAAGGTCCTTTGGTGGTGCTTCCGGTACCGCTGCCGCTGCTGCCGCTCCTGCGCTTGAATTCGAGGCGCAGACTGTTGAAGGGCGGCTGCTGCTCCTCGACGAGCTCGTCGAGACACTTGGAGCCTCGCTCGGAGCTCGTCGTTGTGTCGGTGATCGTCTTTTTTTCCGGAGCGTCGGAGCGAGCGATCGGCAGTCCGTTCGTCGCCTGTTGTACCGCTGCTTTGACTTTCGGCGTTCTCGCTCTCTTTATCGGCGTTTCCGATGGTTGACTCTGCAATATGACATAAACAACGTAAGAATCAATGAATGATCAAATATAAATTTGTATGTATCTCACCATTCTGACGTCATCCACCTCGTCGATCTCCATACCCAGATCCTCCAGTGACTTGCCGATCGACGCTCCACCGAGCTTCGCGTCGATTATGTCGATCAGCGACTGCTCCAAATTGTGCTCCAGTTGCTCGGCTCCGCCACCGCCACCGCTCGACGACGACTGCAGCTCGATCGTCTCGACGCTGTTGATGCCCGAGTCGATGTAGTCCGGATTGTCCAGGGCGGAATTCTCGCCACCGGCCGGCTTGTTGTCGTTGTTGTTGTCGCTGCTGTCGCTGTTGCTTCTCAGATGGAAGTCCAGCGTTTCCGGATCGTTGTCCGACACGACGAAGCCACGATTGACGTAGCTACTGTCGTCCTTGTCGCCGCCCTCGTGAAAGGCGAAACTGATGTCGAACGCGGCTGGCTGTGGCTTGTTCGTCGTCTCCGCGTCGTCGGCCTCTTTTCTCTTGCTGCGATCGAACGGATCGTCGGAACGAGCCAAAGCCCTGATCGTGTCGTCGAGTATCTCGTCCAGCAGATCGCTTATGTACTTGTCCAGGCCCTTGACTATCCTCTTCTTCACCTGATCGTCGAGCGGCTCGATCTTGCCCTCGACCCGGCACTGCTCGCGCCCGGCCAGATCCACGATCGAGCTCTCCTGCACTCGGCCGACGCAGGGCGGCGGCAGAGCCTCGAGCTGCGTCAGGCGATCCACGGCGATGCTCTTCTCCAACTCCTCGATGCCCAGGCCGCTCCTCTCGGCCTCGCACAGGCTCGTACGGATCCTCGCTATTTCCTGCGAGATTATCGCCTCCTGTTCGCCGACGCTGGTCTTCGTCTTGTTTTGCTGCTGCTGCAGCGACTGTCTGAACGAGCAGCGGCAATTGTCCAGCGGGTGCGGTCGACGCTGCCATCGCGAGTAAAAATTGTCGGCCAGCGACTCGGGCCTGGACTCGCGGCGGCTCTCCCTTGGCTCGTAGTACCTCGAGGCCGATTTCAATTCCGGCCTCAGCACTCGCAGCACCCGATCGGGCGCCAGCTGGAAGAACTCGCAGCCGGGTAGCTCGACTCGGCCCGGATCGACGCGATTGCCGCAAGGCACCACTCCGCCTCCGTTGCGCACGCGACGAAGCCGCGCGACTTGACGCTCGATCGTTTTGGCGCACCAGCCGCGATTGTCGCGACCGGTGGGGCAGTGCGTCGTCACGCTGACCGCAGACATTTTCGCGTGTATACGTCTCCGGTTGGCTTTTGGTTGGTTTTTTTTTTGTTTCTTTAGTTTCGCTGCGGCGAGTTTCGGAATTTTACTGCTGCGCCGAGAGCGATACCTGGCTCGTCATCGTCATCTTGGGAAATCTGCGGGCAGGACGGAGAAAAAAAGAACAACAATGTAATTATTTCAATTAAGATAGTCCATTGACGAAACTTTATAATAACGTATACGTATTTTATACGAAAGGCCCCGCTGGCTCTCTCGGCTCGAAATGCAACATGTACGCGCGCGCGCGCCGCGGGTAAATCGAGTTTACAATAATTTGTGAAATGTCAACCTTGACCGAATTACCGCGGGCAGCTTAACACGCCAGCTCTTAGCGATCTCTGGTCAGTTACAATCAGAAAAATCCCAATCGTGAAAATCTACTTTCTAATTGAGAGCACGAGACTTCTCGTTTCTCTTTGCCCGCGCGCTAAACCAGCTAACGAATTGCGTATATACGTTGTGCTGCACTGCCGAGCGATTGATCAATTCGACTCTCTATCCAGGCGCTGTGTTTCGCGATCCGGTATATATAGTACGCAGCTCGTCGACGAGGAAAAAGAAGGAAAAAATTTTCCTCGAATGATATATATCCATACGAGCGTCAATCGAATCCTACGATGTAAGCTAAGTAATAAATCCGATATTCTACTATGGATGTATATAGGAAGGATATTTATTTATTTTTTTCATAAATCGCCCGGTATAGCCGGGTGAAAAACGAAAGTGTGTGCATATATTTAGCGCAATATACTAAACGTATACGCTCCGAAATCCTAATACGTTCCGGTGTTGCGCACGAGATAAATCTCGATATCGGAGCGGGAAAAAATCGTTTTTTCTTTCCATCCACGCGCTGTGTATTCATGTATATATGAAATTACAACACGAACGTCGTTTTGAAATACCGATCTTCCTCGTGTACGCGCGTATACACAGAGTCCATTAAGGTGCTCGTGACTTTTAATACTTCATTGATACATCGCAAGCGATATCGATAGAATTACTCGTAATTCTTTTTTTCTTTTCATCCTTCTTCGGGCATTTTTGCGCTAAGCCTAATGCACACGCGCACACGAGTGAAAGTCCCAAGCCGCGATTAAGTTCGCGTAACTAACTCCTCGAAGCACATTCGAAGAATTAAAGGTATACGTACGTCTCGCGCGTGCGTGTTTATTACCGCGAGTCGAATAAAAAAAAACACAAGCGCGTATTATTATACACACACACACACACACAACACGGTGAGTACGGTGCGTATATATGTAATACGCATAGACTTTTAACATTATGATACAGCTCGGCGGAGCTTTCACTTTTTATACGGGCATGTGACGCACGAGACACGAGCCTTATTACATTACTCCGTGTGTATACATCGAATATTATCCCATTTGTTTTGCCGCGCGATCGTGCATGGGCGTCTGGAAAAGTAATTTTCAATGAAGGAAAAATCACTGCGCGGCGCGAGCCGTAGGTAGGCTTTATCTTCGCGCTTCGCGTTACGACACTTGGAAGCGTCGTAGGTATATATACATGTGTGTACGGTCGTTCGTTGCGAATCGTGCACACGCCTCGCGCATACGTATACAATGCACACTGCAGCTTATGTATATAGTACGTGTACAACACCGAGGAGTTTACTGTAAATCAACAACAACTATATGCACTGCAGTTGGGCGCGCACGCGAGCGCATCGGACACTCGCGCGAGGCACAAAAGACTGGGAGTGAAATACCCAGAGCTAGAGAGAGAGAGAGAGACATTGGATTTATTCTCGCTTCTCGTCAGGGCTAGCCATGATTTTCTTTCTTTCTTCGCTTCTCAAAGTTGTATTATATATTTTACGAGAGACCACTCGATGCACATACATAATAATATTACGCGTCCCCGTGTACAGCGTAAGCCCCATGATTATATATAAGATATATATTTATATACACACACACTCGGACACGCTTAACGGTTTTTGCCGATAGTTCGTGCCATTAAAATACCGGAATGTTTTTAGTGCGCTCGCGCCACCTCGAGCTGTGCAGCTTATCGAGCAAGCACAACAGCTCCTCTATGTGCTCTGTGCGCTCTATGCTGCAGCTCCGATGCTATATGCAGCTGCTGCACTCGACGCGACTCGCACGAGTCTCTCGCGGTGTATCGGCCACCGCGAGAGAGACTATTTGTAAACAGCCATTCGAGTAAGAGAGGAGAGCTCCGAATATATGTATATAGACACGCGAGCCGAGACGAGCCGAGTCGAGAGAGAGATGCTGCAGCATCGGCAGCGGAGTTATAAGCTCACCACGAGAGGTCTGAGAAACACGAGCGCGGCGGCGACGGCGGCCACTTGTTGCGTCCAACGGCAGTGGTGCTCAATTGCTCGACTCCGAAATTTTTTTTCGTCTCTCGTCTCTCAGCTTTTTTGCAGCTTAACGCGATTTCGAGATCGTTTGTTTATCATCAACGCGGCGAGATCGTTACATCGTTATCGTTATATTTCTTGTTATTTACGTGTGCGCTCGATGCCTCAACGTCGATGAACTCTCGGGATCGCTGCAGTCGCGGTGTCCGCTCGTGGCTGCTGGCCGCTCATCGTACCGACGCTGCTGGTCCCTTATTATATCTCGCGTGTAAGCTCTCTCTGTGAATTACAGAGAGAATGTAGTATACACACGCACACAAATGCAGCTCACCACGAGAACTATATATTTACCGCCGACGGTGACTCTTATCACCGAGAGGCCTCTCCGAAATAAACAACGCACGCAGAGCCGCGCGAATGATCACTCGCGCACACAAATATACACACACGCGTGAGACAGAACGGAGTATAACAATAATACACAAACGCACTTGGACGCGCCAGTCGAGCAGTCAGTCAGTCAGTCGCTCGGCGTGTGCTCATGTCAACGTATTTATGAATGAAGCAACTAGACGACGACGACGTTAAACAGCAGCAGTAGCAGCACTCGCGGCAGCACGAGGATGAAGAGGTGGTGGAGGAGGAGGAGGAGGTAGAGGAGGACAACGACGCGTTGGCGTACGCGCCGCAGAGGCGACTGAGCTCTAATAGCTCTCTTAGCTCGGCGCCTCTCGAAGATGCCTCTCCTCCCATGCCTGTGTGTACACGTCTGTGTGGGTATATATGTTACTTATATATATATACCTCTTTGACTCTACGGTTACGCTGCCTATAGCTATATACTGCTGGTACACGGCTTTTGCGACGCGAAATTTAACTGGACGCCGCGTACGAGCGTACGTATATGACTCCGTTGTTTTTGTTTTTTTTTTTCTTTTTCGAAACTATCGGTACGTACCCGTGTACGCTCGCGCGCGGGCACAGGTGCAGGCCAAAGGTACGGACCCGACTGCCTGCGCTCAAATATACAAGACACGCCGTTGCGCCTTGCGTCCGCGTTTTGTATATATATAGGTAGGTAGAGAGTATTGGCAACTCTTTCTCGCTCGCCTGGTATATATAGCTAGTAGTGTACTGTACACACTGGACAGCGCCAAGTTCCGAGCGCCATGTTGAGCTGCACTCGGTTTATGTATATAGCGATATTATGTATGGCGAGCGAGAGGAAGAGAGAGAGAGAGAGAGAGAGAGAGCGAGAGGAGCTTGGCAAGAGGAGAGAAGGGTATATACAGCGATACATGTATAAATGTATTTGCAGAAAACGACGATGTAGTGGTGGTAGTAGTGGTAGTAGTAGTAGATAGTTGTATAAGTAGGAATTTTTCAGCACTCGGCAAAAATTGGGAGGGAAAAGATGAGTCGCGCGCGTGTGTATTATACCAGCTCTCTCATACGATTTTACGCCTGTTGTGCGTTGTATGGATGCTGCGCCTTTTTTACTACCTATTTAGCATCCACTTGTCGGGCCCGACGCGTGCTTGGGATTTTTTATTTTCAACTCCTTCCTTTTCAATATTAACAATTATATTTGGGTCGTCGCGGGCTTTTTACACGCGAGTATTCGCGACGTTTAGCGTCAATAGGAACTTTTGTCCGCAGCGAGTGCGTGTCCCTCTGCGAATGTTTTTCAACGCGCCGCACGGATGATCGATGGCTGTTCTTCTACGACGTATAGAGTTTGTAAGGATTCGGCCCCGTGAATATACTATGAAACAACGCACACACATGCTAGCGAGGATCGGTTTTTTTTCCTTCTTTTGTCTCCCGGTTTTGTTTTCGTTGACCGAAATCCGAAGACTGTATACCGTAGCAACAACCGTTCGTCAATCGTTTTATTGTCAAGAGCTTACGTGCAGGTATGGACGAAAAAAAAATGTTGTCTACTGCGTTTTTTTTGCAGCTCCGCTCGATTAGTACCGATGGAAAAAAAATTACAACTTATATCAGCGCGCACAGTGTTGAACGAATAAAAAGAGCGAGAAAAAAATGACCGGTTACAAGATCACACGATCGTATAATATATGAATATTGTAATCTCTCGCACCAGCAGGCATGCGCCAATATAATTAACATTCTTGTATTGTACGATATCGTATACCTATGTATACAATATATTATGTACATATGTGTGTGAGTGTGTCAGTTTCTTGGGCGACCGATGATTCATGTCACCGCGACGATTGAGCAAATAAATACTCCTCCGGTCGTCGTCGTCGTCGTCGTTGTGGTTCGTTTTGTACAGCTCGTGCGAAGTTGAGAGAAAATTCTTTCTCTAACGTATTTAAAGTTTTTTAACGTGATCCAAGTGAGCGCAGTTGAGTTCGTATTTTTTTTTCCTGACTATATCTACGAGAGTACGAAATGGACAGGGATGACTTTCGTCACGTAAGAGAGGAAGAGAAAAATAAACTTTCGAATCGGTTAAATATTCATAAAAAGATAAAAATCTGTCCGAATACACTCGTAACCCAGTGAAAATCATTTTTACTCCGTACAGGCTACCGAGGCACGCGCGATAAGCGACGTTTCGGAGACGTCGTTTTTAAAAGCTACTCCGAGAGAATAAAAAACCAAGGATGAATCACTTTGGACTGAAAACCGCACTGCACTCGCGCGAGAGCTAGTTAAAGTCAAAACGTAACGTGTATTGAAAAATAATGTATATCGCTTATACACACGTATGACGCGCGCGAAACTAACTCGAGCCTCGTTATATATTATTTCAAGCCTCGAAAGTATTATTTTAACTGTTTTGTACAATATACATAATAACAGCTCTAGGAAGAAATAAAAAATACGAGAAAAGAATTTATACGATCGTCGTCGCTTATTTTTTTCAGTAAGCTCGCGGTCGAGCGGACATATATATAAAAAAAAGCCGCCTCGAAAAATATCCCCGCGCCGCATACGAAAAAAGTCCTCGATCGAGCTTCGACGATCGACGCGCTCGAAATATCGAGTTCGCGCGTCACGTTTATGTAGCGTAGTCCAAATGCTTTTATGCCGCATAGCACGTATTCGATACATATCTAGGACGCACCGGTTGCCGATTTGATATATATAGGTAAAGTACGAAGCTGACTCCGATACAAATTCGATACACCGTTATCGCGTTGCGGCGTGGCTTGGCTTGGCTCTGTGCAGTGCTCCGTATTCACTCGCACATTGAGAGCAGCGGCAGCAGCAGCAGCAGCAGCAGCAGCAGCGAGTGAAATGCCGCGTCTATGTATCGCCGAGGTGCACGAGCGCAATGAGTCGCGACGACTATAACGACGAGCACAGCAGCAACAGCAACCCAAAGACTAGGCACTCTGATTATATGTATCGCGTCTGTGGTGGCGCGAGTACGACGATGAGACGGCTAATGCATATACCGTGCTCACTTTGCCTATCTGCGGTGTACGCGTATATGTATGCGCGATGCAAAAATTTATGGTCGTACTTGTCGCGCTACGATCATATACGCTGCTTTCTCGCGCGCGCGTTGCGCAAATACATGATTAATGAATGGGTTTTCGAAAAGGAGGCTATGGTTTCACCCGGTTCTTTCTTTCTGTCTTCCTTTTTTTCTGTTCCAAAAATTGGGAATCTGTATCTCAAAGGATTCGCATGCTATACATAATAGAAAAGGAATACCTCGGCAGATGATCGAATACTGTACTATTTCTTCATTTCCTTCTTCCTTTTTTTTCTCTCGCGCGCGCACGTGAGCAAAATGCGCGATGCGAATATTATATAGCACACCTTGATGCGCGACACGAAATATAAGATGCGCCATGCGTACTTGTGTCCGATCAGTGGAATCGAACGGTTAAACGATTTTTCGGGTGCGGGTGCATGATAATATGCGCGCGCGCGCGGCAAATATTGTCCCCGCGGCCCGCTCGAGGTTCAATGAAATTCGAAAAAAATATAATCGACGAAACAAAAAAAAAAGATTTAGTGCGCTTCACGCCTTCCAGAAACAACACGAACGATCTCTGTGAAAACAATCTTACACGATTTGTTTGCATTATGTATTGCGATTGGAAAGTGTTCAATTTTGTGCAATCTGAGTAAATTCATTAAATCGATATCGCGTATCGATTGCCGAGGTTATCATCGACACTAATTGAAATGAAAACAGCAGCAGAAGCGGCAACGAGACGCGTCAGACGATATATCCCCAAAGAGCAATCTTAATTGCGTCACAACAAAACAATCGATTGTTATACAATAATCCGTCGCGGATTCATAGGTGTTTCATAACGATGCGCCTCATTGTGTACGCATAATATAATGTTGACGAACCCACACACATACACACAATCGGATGAAGCGCGCGCGAAATGGCAAAGTGCGTTTAACCCGCGAGACGCCAGTCTCGGAAGGTAACTGTTATTTTTTTTTTATTATGTTTCAGAATGTGCGCGAGCTTTTAGAATCGATAAAAAAGGGTATACGCGCATATGCTTGTATCGCTCGAGAAAGAGATATTTTCATGACCCGTCGATCGAGCGCAGTCAAGGTTTTTTGATTCGATTTTTTTTTCTTCTCTTTGCACACAAGCGAATTTGGCAAAATTTTCCAAAAATGCACGCGATAAACGAGTGCCTTACGATACGGATTACGAGATTTTTTTGCAAGATGCTGAGATGTTTACATTTGCACTAATGTTACGTCTATAAATCACCAAAAAAGCCACGGAATAACGGAATTAATCGTTCGATGAAATGTGTACTTACGAATGTCGTAATTTTCGATCAATTGAGCGATTTTATTTGTAAAGCGAATAATTTATCGCTAAAATTATTTTAAATTTAAATCTTTTAGTGAGAGTCATAGATGCACCTTTGAAAATTATCATGGATAATATTCAAACAATTAAATTCTCACAAAAACAATCTCGATCTTCTCTCTTTCACACTTTGAATTCGATTTGTTCGGGAATAATGTACATCATTGAACATATCGATTTCTCGAACCAATTGTATGGAAAAAACAGGTGTAAAGTGATTGCTCAAAAAATATTGATCAATTTATTTACGAGAATCTCCATTTCCGCTCGCGGTATATAAGGCAGCTAATGATCGGCAATTAAACTCAGATTAATTTTAACGTTAGCGACAACGATCGCGATGAAGTTCATCACGGCGGCTACATTGATTGTAGCGCTTGCGAGCGTCGCCTCGGCCACTCCAAGTGAGTTTGTTTACAGTTTTTTTTCTCGGTTATTTCTTTGATTTTTATGGAAAGGACTCGGGCACGTAAGGATTGTGCTCCATTATTACTTTTTACGAGATGAATGGGTTTGAAAATTTTACGAATCATTTATTTCCTTGAAAATTTTAATTATTATTTTGTCGATAAAAAAATACTGTGTGTACAATTTTCGTGCACATTCATCTCGAGAAAATTTTCTTTAATTTTTCGTTGATCTTGATATCATGTAGAAATAATGCATGTAATTTTTACTCTCACTTAAAGTTGTTGCTCAACTGAGCTCTAGAATATTTGCATAGCTAATACTGTTTAATTACTTAGTTGACGATGCCGGCGATAAGAGTACGCCGAGAGAAAACGAATCTGTCGTCGTGAAGCAAGAAACAGTAGGTACGTCGAGATTACAACTTTTACAGCGTTAACAAATCGACGCGTGCATGCCTACAAATTTCTCAAAATCGACTCAAATTTTTCTCATAGATGTGGAGGACTACAGAGTTTACTACCCTCGCTTGGTAGTGAGACAGCCAGTGACTCAGCCGCAAGTGATTCGGCCGCAGCCTCGTCCGCAGATGACGTTCGCCGACGCCCTGTCCAAGTTCGCCAACGACATAGCCGCCGCGACCAATCGCTACAACCAGAGCATGAAGCAGCAGCAGCTCAGTCAGGCCCAATTGAAAGCTCAAGCACAAGCGAAAGCTCAGGCGAAAGCTCGCGCAAAAGCTCTGGCCCAGAAGAAAGCTCGGGCCGAGGCGGAAGCCATAGCAGTGGCCCAGGCCGAAGCGGAGGCCCGGGCCCAGTCGATCGCCAAATCCAAGGCCGAACAGGAAGCTCGGGACCAGGCCCAATCACTGGCAGCCGCGGAATCACGAGCAAAAGCGGTCTCAGAAGCAAGAGCAAAGGCAGTCGCAGAAGCAAGAGCAAAAGCACAAGCTCTGGCCGAATCACGGGCCAAAGCAGTGTCTCAGGCCCAAGCTGGTAACGCTCAGGCGAAATCCGACGCCCAGGCAAACAGTGGTGCTGGTGGAAACGCCCAGGCCACCTCCAATTCGGCCGCGCAATCGCTCGAAAACATCAACGCCGTCATCCACGGCAACGTGAACGTCCAGAACGGAGGTCAGGTGGCACCCCCAGCCTCGGTCGGCTCGGCCAGTCCCAGCGAGGAATTGGCGGCCGGTGTCGCCGAGACGCAGAAGCTGCAACAGGCCGACTCCAACGGCCAAGCCAATGCCCAGGGCGGCAGCGGCGGCGGTGGCGGCGCTAATGCTCAGTCCACCTCGAACTCGGCCTCGCAGTCTCTGTCCGGTATAAACGCCATCGTCCACGGCAACGTGAATCTGGTCAACGGAGTTAATCAGGGCGGATCGGGCGCGGAAGGGGCCGCCAAAGGAGGAGCCGGACAGGGCGCAGGAGCCAACGCCGTGTCGAATTCCGCCTCTCAGTCGCTGTCCGGTATCAACGCCATTGTCCACGGCGACGTGAACGTCGTCAACGGAGGCACCACCGGTGGCGTAGTAGGTGGTGCGTCGAGCGGAGCAGCCGAAGGCGATCAAGGCGCATCGTCGGCGCAGCAGCCGGGAGTCGAGAAACCGGTTCCCGGCGACGACACGCTGCAGACGGACTCGGTGACGCCGACCGTGGCCAACGTCATTGTCAGCGGCCTGGTGAATCTCTGCGTCAAGGAGCTCGGCGTCACCGTGGGCAACGTCAACGCCGAGGGAGTCGCCGAGGCCGTGTCCCACGCCAGCTCGGAGCTGCACTCGCTGCTCGACTCGATCCTGAACTTCTGCCAGGCGCTGCAGGGCCGCGAGCAGCTCGAGAATCCCGTGGCACTGGGCGGCCACTTGGGCCAGATCAAGGACAACAACGTCGCCGCGACCGAGGCCAGCAAGAACAATCTGTTGAATCTCTTGGGCGGTCTGGTCACCGACGGCAAGCCGGATCAGCTGGCACCGGAGTGCGTCTGCGTAACGCCGAAAATCGAGCTACCCGAGCAACAACAGCCTCAAGTACCTGTGGAGCAGCCGCAAATACCGAATCAGCCGGAAGCGCAAGAGGTCACGGACATCGTTTTTCCCGACACGATCGACCCGACGGTGCACAAGCAAAAGCAGCCCGTTCTCGATGCTTAGGTGTTTGAAAACGTTTTCATCGCGCAACGGATGATACTTGGAAAGGGGTTGCTTTTAGTCTAAAATATTTATAAATTAATGTTAGGGGATAAGGAAGAGAACGAGATGCGATAAATTTTAAGCAAAATCGATCGATGCCGATAAAGTCTGAAGTGCGTGAATAATATTGACACTTTTGCGAGCGAATAAATCGTCTGGTGACAAATTTATCAGAGACAGAGAGATAATTACGATTTTTCGATGTAAATAATTTTTAAGATTTTAAGAATAAAAAAGAATTTACTTCAATGCCACATCCGTGTGCATACATTTCTGTACTTTAGCACCTACCAAAAAAAAATTAAAGCAAGATATTACGAGCGATAAACAAACATGCACTAAAAGTACGAATTACGCAACTTAGCACGTGAAGTAACGCAACGCAAACAGGAGAGAAGCTCGCGGAGATTTTTACGACGCGCGAGCCCTGCAAAAAAATTAAATTTGGACGCAGGCAGGCTCTTGCGAGCCCGCGCGACGCAGCGGAAGCGAACTGCAGCGGTAGAAATGCATAACGCGCGCCACAACGAGTATAAATATAAATTTTTGTTTGGCAAGTTTTCTCGGATCGCAACTAAACGCCGCGCGCGCGATAAGCAATGTAAATTTGCTCGACATCGTTATATACGAGCGCTCCACACCGAACGCGCGGCGCGCTACTATTTCACGTTCTAACATAGCTCGGCGATGACAGAGAGTATATAATATGCATGCGCATTTATGCAGGCGCGGGTCGTTTACCCCTTTGCGCCGATCTCGCGAGCGAGAGGCTATAAAAGCCCGGACGATAAGAGCCGAGCGACGCACTCGGTCATAGGGCTTGGATCGCGCGTATATTACAGAGTCCTGCGAGCCGAGACCCGCGATCTTCACGATGTGCAAAGCCGTCAGACGGTTATCCGTGCAGTTACTGCTGGTGCTGCTGGTGCTGCTGTTCGCGCGTGGCCACGAGGGCACGGACATGCAGCTGCAGCACGAGATCGAGCTCGAGCACCTGGGCCAAGCGACGAACGAGATACCGCGCGAGGAGAAGGAGCTGGTGCGCGAGGACGTGGCCGAGCACGAGCGCAAGCTCATGCTCGAGTGCCAGCACAGCGACTACAGGACGTACATCAAGTGCCTGAAGCGCGACAAGAGGCAGCAGTTTCATCGTGGCGATCAGCAGCAGCAGCAGGGTCAGGGGAGGAGCTCGTGTCTGGACCAGTGCTTCCAGGTGAACTGCACGAGCTCGGCCTGCATCAGGGACTGCCACTCGCACTGCCGCCAGAAGCTCATCGAGACCTACAGCAAGACGATCGAGACGTCGTACGACTGCCAGGACAACGAGTGCAAGGAGCGCGACGGCGACGTGGACGCCGTCAAGCACGCCAATCACACCACCATCGTCAACGTCAACAACAACATCAATCTGACGACGAGCAACTGCAGTTCCTCGGACAAGGACAAGTCGAGCAGGACGATCGGCCACGGCTCCGGCCTCGACGACGGCGAAGCCGGCGGCGGCTCGCGTAGAAACTTCAGCGAGGCTCTGATGCCCAAGATCGAGCTCAACAACATCATTACCAATCAGTTCGGTGGCGCTCCCGGTTCTTCCGGGGGATACGGATCGCCCGACGGTCCCTGCGCGTGTCGTGAGTAAACCATCACCCTATATTTATTCCTCTTTCCATCTCGCTTAAACGTGCGATACGCGTTGATCCACGCAGCCGGTTGCAATTGCGGCGGTTACAACCTGTGGCCGCAAATACCTCAGATAACGATCGGCATCGGCGGCGGCGGTGGCGGCGGTCCGATGCAACCCGGCGGCTGCATCGTTCCCATGTCTTGGCCCTGCTTTCAACAGCGCTACCCGCTCCCCTATCAGCAACAACCACAGCCGCAGCAACAGCAGCAGTCGCTGATCGACTGCTCGCAGTGCGCCAATCCCTTTCTGCGCTATCAATGCGATCCCGCCTGCTACAGTGGCGGCGGCGTAGTCGACGTGAAATACAACGTGACAGGAGCACCGGTGTCGAATCCTTTACCCCAACAGCAGCAGCAGCAGCAGTCATATCCTAGACGTAGGTTTCATTTTGTTTCGAGCGAACGGGAATCTAGTTTCAGGGCTACAGTTTGAGGATTTTATGTTTTTTTCATTCTGTTGCAGTGACCCCGAGAACGTGGAACAATGGGATTCGATAGAGGGGCACCATGGCAGTAAATAATTTTTATTTGTTCTTCTTTTCTACGTTCACTCGATTATTTGTATAAAAGCAATTGTTTTCAATAAAATGACGCGAAAAAAAAATTTGATTAGTGATACATGATTTACTCTACACCAAATACCAGTCAACGCCCCTTTATTTGCATCGTGAAAAGCGAGATACTATCTTTCGATTGTAGCGACGAGCGAAACTGCGCCAAGCAAACAAATAAAATATTGTGTCACTATTATTGAACAACTATTTTCTGTATCGATTTCGCGTGAAATTAAACTAATAGGAGAGTAAAACGTGATCATATTATCTGATATTTTCTTATCAATTGCAATCGTGATAAATAAAAGAGTGCAAGACAAGCATCATCAGACAAGTCGAGGCATTTTTCTATCAGATTTCAAATTCTCAAATTGAATTTTTTACCTCGTTTGCCAGTCGTTGTTGCATCGTGTTTTTTGTCGAGAATAATAACTTTATGTAAGCTATAGGTGTGTTTCCAGAAAGATTATTTCATTATTCGCGCAATTTCGATCACGTCTAACGCTGTATACCTGTTATTTGTTTATTTCCATGTACTTCGTGTACAATGTAACATTCTTACCGTGAAGCAGATTGGTGAATCCCGTAGCCATGTCAACTGTACGAGCACAGGTGTAAGCATGGCTGCATACGCGCCTGGCGTTTCTTTTCAAGCTCAATAAACTCAATGAACGCATCGCAGCTAGTTGTACAAGTATTCGTTGTAAGCACTGAAATTATCATTGATTGGCACTCTTCGCCGTTCCGATTCAAATTAGTTTACATCAGCATCATTCGATTGATCGATTATTAGAACCTTGGATAACAATGACTCATTACTGTTCAAATGTCAGTTTTCATTTTACGAAAATTAAAAACTGCATTGTGTCTGTGAGTGACGCTAGTGAATTTTATTACTACGTGACGTAGTACGTCAAAAAATTCATTAAATCATGGGCCTATTTATTGTCGCGAATTAAAAAATATACTAAATTATAACTTAAAGAGAGATTGAAAGGAGAGACACCTATTGCTAAAACGGCTAAAACGTTCAAAAAAAACTTTTGAACATAATATTTCATGAAAATAGGATTAGTTGGTGGAAAAGTAGGATGACCCGATGGTTCGTCGCTAAAGATGGCTAAGAACTAACTACAAAAGAAGAAGGAATGCAATTGCAGCGACTCGCGCGATACAAGAGCGGTCGTCGCGAGCCGTTGTAAAGACTCGGATAACATGCTGAAATAAAAGCATGAGCGCATGTGGTCGCGGGGACGAGCTGAGTCAAATTCAGCCGTATATTAATTTAGCGCGTCCGCATGACACCCTGCTGAAAAAAATCATGGGAAAAAACATATGATGTTTTGGCATGATTAATCATATGATTATTTATATGATTTATCATGTGATTTTTCCCAGCAAGGGAAGCAAATCCTTATTTTAATATAAAAACCATTGAAGAGGAAATGCCATAATATAATTTTAAGTCTGATTGTATTTATGTCATTGAAAATGAAGAAACTACTTTTGAATGTAGCTAAAAAAATGTACATTTAGAGCATAATAATTTGAATAATTTAAAAGAGTTTATTATAAAAGAGTAAATTATAAAACTGCCGAACTTTCGAATCATCAAACTGCGTGGATTTGTACCGTTTTGTAAACGATTAGCATCGATATTTTCTTGATGACAAGATAGCATAGTTATATCTGAATTTTCATGCCTTCTACTTTTATACTTCACTTCAAACTCTTTTAAATTATTCAAATTATTATGCTCTAAATGTACATTTTTTTTTGGCTACATTCAAAAGTAGTTTCTTCATTTTCAATGACATTAATAAATTCAGACTTAAATTATATTTTGGTACTTCTTCTTCAATGGTTTTTATATTAAAATAAGGGTTTTCTTCTCGTGCTGGGAAAAATCATATGATAAATCATATAATAAATCACATGATTAATCATGCCAAAAAATCATATGATTTTTCCCATGATTTTTTTCAGCAGGTCAGTTACCATGTTTAAGTAGAGCTGCGACGTGACTCCTGAGATAAATGGTCGAATCGTAGCTTTGATGGTACTGCCAGTTGACAATAGATGGCGTTACCAACATGGGAGGCGATTGGGTAGCTAGTATGCAGTGGAAGGTCCCACGAGAAACGAAGTGTATTTACCACGTATTTCGGCCCGCTTCGAACCCCCCTCAGTGCCTAGACTATAAACAATTTCACGCGAAGACTCGAGTTTCAATTGGCCGTAACTTTTTACCTAATTGATGAAATGATTTGAAACTTTACCAAAATTATCTTCAACTATTGTCCTTTAACGTAGTATTATGCAAAATTCCAATTTCAAAAATTCATAACACAACTTTTGCAATTGAAAAAAAAAGTTATGTTTGGTCGAAATTTTTTTTACAAAATTCGCCATTTTGTTATAAATAATAGCGAAGGTTTCGCAGTTTGGGGGTAGAAGACTACTCTATATATGTTTATAGGCACATTATATTGAGTTATAATATTTTTTTTATCAATTCAATCGCAATGTTCTTGCAAAATAAATCACAATTTTAGTGTAGAATAAACCAGGATAAAATATATAAGTTTATAGATTTTTTATTTTTTATAAATGAAATGTAAAGTGCGCTTATTTATTTCAATATTATTTTAATTATTTTTATAACAAACATTGATTTCTGTTTCAGGTACCTCATTTTCATTACTGGGCTGGTTCGACTTAGAAAATAATATTTTTTCAGAATTTCCACTACCCTCTTCTAGAGCTGAATAACATTTTTGAAAAATGTCGTACGTAAAAAGCATGTATTTGTTATAGTTTTCAATGAGGTTGGTGTAATGAAATCCAATCACATAGATTTATAACAGTTTAAAATATTTTATTGTTCACATTCACGTGAGAGATTTTCCACAATTTCGTAGTCTGCTAACACGATAGTAAAAGTCTTCATATCCAATCAGATCGAGACGAGTTCGTGAATACTTTTGTTCAGGATGTCAAAATCGATTAAAAAAAAATTCATCCAATTTGACTCACGCGCTCATGTTATCACTGCTTGATTCAAGATTTGCTATAAAATTCTGTAAACCCTTAAGACGTCTTTAAAAATCAACGTACTTTTTCAGAAAAGGTAAGGTTGGGCTGTAGAATCAAATGATACTTTACTTTTAAGCGTTCGTTCATGATAAAAAAAGTTACATGCAATTTTAACATGTTACAAGAGTTTATTTACTCATTAGATTTACTCAAATGTTCAAATATAGTGGCAGAATCTACGAACATATATATATTACCATAATTATAACCATAATAATAATTAAAAATAACCAAATTCAAGCGTTGATCTGTATATAAAATTCAATTAGGTGGTCCGTACATTTCTTATCAATCGAGTCTCTAGGCTCTCATGATACAAAAGTGCACGGAAAAACTGGCGCTCGGCTGTGAGCCGTACAAAATATTCATGCACAATTTTGTCAAAAAGTGCCGTGTGACCGCCGCGTTAGGACGCTGCTGCTCATGCTCGGCTTTTTCTTGAACATGAACCTAAAACTCATGCTCTCAGCGAGCACGGCTCACAGCTCGGCGCCAGTTTTTCCGTGTGTAAAATTGAAACTTACAAACTATATGTACGGATGGCACGATCATCTCGATCGTTCCTACCCGGAGAAAACGCTTTCCATTTTATTCGTGGCAATGTATAATATGAAAGACATTAAATACACTTTCAATCACTCGGAGAAAAATATCAGCGTTATATTCCAGCACAGATGTTCACGGTATTATATTTCTAATGATCATTTCTTATCAAAGATTGAAATAAAAAAGTTTCAGGCATTTCTAAAGACATGGAGTTTACTATCGAACCTCCTTAATGCATTGGAACAAACCAAACGTCCAAAACTTTCTCGTAACAGCCGGTCTCTCGCTATAATCGATCTCGTTATAAACGGCATCCACTGTATTTCGAATGCACGCACGAGAATACGTCGCACTGAACGTTTCACAATACATAAAGCATACCCGCCTCGTGTTTCGACGTGTTTGCCTTAAAACTTAACGAATGGATTAGAAAATTTCATTAAAAAATTCTCAGAAGAGAAATTTTCTTAAACACCGGCACAGATGTCCATGTTATTATACTTTCAATGCAGCAGCGGGACTGCACGTCGTAACGTGTACGTCAAGTAATGACATCTTTTTATTCCGAGCACAGCAAGTAACGAATGACTCCATAAGTCGTGCCGGATTTTCTATTTCCCGGAGAGCGTTATAGAATCGACCGGCCTCCGTATGTATTAAATAATTCGGCTGCTGCGGCAAGTACCGCTGAACGTCCTGCTCGACGTCCGTGTCTGTGCAGCGACTTTGCAGCGACGTGTATTTCTGTCTCTCTCTCTCACGCTTGCTTAAGGTGACTCTTTACCTGAACATTTTTTCATACAAGGTCCTGACATTTTGGGAGAATATTAATTAGTAATTCAACAATCTCCTTGCAAAATTTCAGACCAAAAAGTAGGGTTGAGTGACCACGGAGAGCTAAGTCGATAAACAACATGATTCTTTATGTACTTTTGGTCGCTGCATCCGAATATGACCTTTATTTTTCCCTAAAATGAAAGCGTCGTTGAGAAAAACGCAATTATTATGAAAAATGCGTAAAAAAAGTTTTTTAATTTTTTCATGTTCAACTCGCTGTATCTTGCAGTTTTTAATATTTTTCGATGAAATTTTAACCGTATATTTTTGAGATCTTTTGAAAGAAAACAAGCTATTATACGAGTAAAAAAGTTACTAGTACAGTTACAACTACTAACTGAAATGTTGTGTGATGAAAATTCGAAATTGGATTTTTAAACATGATAACATTAACATATAAGGTACAAAGAAGTTTTTGGTAAAATTTCAGCCAGAAATATCAATTAGGAAAAAAATGGCAAGAGT